GTCCCCTGATCATCTTCATGGCCCTCCTCTGGACCCTCTCCAGCAGCTCCCTGTCTTTTTTGTACTGGGGGCTCCACACGTGGACGCAGTATTCTAGATGGGACCTCACAAGAGCAGAATAGAGGGGAACAGTCATCTCCCTGTCCCTGCTGGACGCCCCTCTTTTGATGGAGCATTTGCCTTCCGAGCCACAGGGGCACACACTGCTGGCTCATATTAAGTTTTTCATCTATCAAGACCCCCAAGTTCTTTTCCACAGGGCTGCTCTCAAGGACCGCTCCTTCCAGTCTGTATGGATGCCTGGGATTCCTCCAGCCCAAGTGCAAAACTCTGCACTTTGCCATGTTGAACCTCATCAGGTTCACCCGGGCCCACCTTTCTAGCCTCTCGAGGTCCCTCTGAATGGCATCCCTTCCTTCAACTGTGTTGACCGCACCACTCAGCTTGGCGTCGTCAGCAAACTTGCTTGAGGGTGCACTCAATTCCGTCATCAATGTCACTGATAAAGATGTTAAAGGGCACTGGTCCCAAGACAGACTCCTGGGGTATGCTGCTCGTTACTGGCTTCCACCTGGACATAGAGCCATTGATGAGCACCCTCTGCCTGCGGCCTTTCAGCCAGTTTCTTAACCAACGAGTGGTCCACCCATCAAATCCACATCCCTCCAATTTGGAGATAAGGATGTGGTGGGGGACCATGTCAAAGGCCTTGCTCAAGTTCAGGTAAATGATATCAGTAGTCCAGTCAAATTTCCAAATAGTGGTCTTGAAAATAAATATTTCATGTCTCCATTCATTCTGGTGCTTTCGCATCTCAATCTAAATTGTGATAGGATGAAGTGTAAACATATGAAGAAATCTATTAGTGAATAAATGAATTAATTAGTGAAGAAATGAATCATACCAAACAGGACTTAGGCAGACTGAATAGTTTGTACTCTATCCCAATTAAATATATATATATATATCTTGATTTACCATTAAATTCTGATGTTGTTCCCAACAGTGGAGATACAGCATAAGAAAATTACAGATAAAGAGTTCTCCTCTCTATCCTTTTAAATGTTGCTTATTTTTTCTGAATGATGTTAGTACAAAGGAAAATTACAAGAATCTGGGGATGAAACTGAAATGTAGAACATTTAATCATATTCTAAGTCTTTTTCTTCTCAAAGTTCTACAAAGAATTTCTTGCAAGAAAATCTTTTTAATGTTAAAGTTGAACTTATCTGGTAATGAACTTATCTGGTAACTGTGATAAATCTGCCAGAAGGGGAAAAAAAAATAAATCAATAAAAAGAATTCCCATATTTCCCCTGATCATTATGATCATTATCCTGAGTAGCTGTCAAAGTGTTGGAGTTTTTTTGTTTGTTTGAAGTGCTACCGGTGATGTTATATGAAAAAGAATTGTTCAATTTTGGGCAATTAGGTACGTTCATTCTTTGGAAACATTCATGTCATTCAGAGCCTTTTGATGCCATGACAAGATCCTGTATTAAGTTGGGGTCTGATCCACAGCCTGCCAAAGTACATTTTAGCTACATTTGTTCATTTTATATTGGCCCTAAAAAAATAAAATAGAGGAAAATATTTGGAATCAACATTTGGTGATGTACTCTGTGGAAAATCTTAGCGCTACTGTAAATGGTAAAACAGCAGGAGGAAAAGAGAAGTTTTTAAGATGTCTCAGAAGGTTTTTTTTGTGGGAGCAGGAAGTGGTAAGTAAGTAATGACAATTTAACAAAATCTATCTGTGCCTGTAACTGTAGAATGTGAACTTAAGTAACAACCTAATATATTAAAATCACATGTGATTTTTAAATTGTCACATTTGACTCTGTGATGTCATGGTGCAGGTGAACAGCAAGCCTAAGAAAAAGTGCATTCTTAATTTTTCTGCATAGTATGTGATGAAGATTGAGTGTTCACCTTATTGTATGTAAATCTGTGATCTGAAATAGAATGATGTATGTAATTTATGCAGTCCAAATAAGAGTCACCTCGAGTCTTTTCTCACTAGCTCCAAGAACATTAAAGGAGTGTTTCAATCACTTGCTAATATACTACATACTTCTAAACCATGTATGATAGTTTCATACCACTGAGTTTACTGTATTTATTATTCTATTTATCACAGCCCTTTAAGATGACTAATGACATAGAAGAAGTTGTTTTTCTTCATTTTAAAATCTGCATCTTTGTTTTTATAAATGAAGCCGTACTTGGTGCCTTAGATCTACTTTGGCATGATTTCTTAATTAGAAACTCTTAACTGGAAACAATTGTTAGAAAATAATACGAAGTTCTTCTCAAGTGTCTTATTTTTGTTTCTTGTTTCTTGTAACAGATTTTGATAAACCTGACTTCAAGAGGAGCATTGTCTGCTTTGAAGACTTAAGTGTTGGTACTGTTCTGACTGGAAAAGTTGAAAATGCAACACCATTTGGAGTTTTTGTTGATATTGGTGTGGGAAAAGCAGGTTTGATTCCAGTGCGAAACATAACAGAATCTAAACTTTCTAAAGTGAAGAAGAGAAGAAGCCTTGGGTTAGGTCCTGGAGAAAGAGTGGAAGTTAAAGTGCTGAATGTCGATATTCCTCGATTAAGGATTACATTGGATCTTATTCGTGTTTTATGAGAGGGTGGGTTTTTTTTTATGATTGAGTTTTCATTTCAAGTGTTAACAGGGTTCTAGAGATTCAGACATTTAATGAGATTGTTGAAAGTGAAACAATTTTTTCCCCATTTCTTGAATCCTTTCTAGAGCAGTTTATTGGATTACCTCCAAGAAACCTGGTTATTTTGTCTGCAGAACAAATGAAATTCCAGTGTGCTGTCAGACACATCTCTTACCTGTTCTGTCTGTGCAAGATTTGCTGTCTCAATTATTGATCAGTACTACACCAGCAGACATCTACTGTTCCCCTTCAAAAAACAGTGATATAATTTCCATGTTTTCTGGAAGAGACTCTGAAAGAAGGTTACCTAGTTTTAGAAAAAAGTGATCTTATTAGGTTAGTTGGTGATGACATCGATTCAAAAGTAGACTGAAGAAAAGAACATCTGCTAATACTATTGATGGTTCAGAAATATTCCGTTTTATTTGAGCAGCAATATTAGGAGGTCTGTTTTCCTCTCTTATGATTGCTTGTTCAGTTATTGTATTGATTAACACACTTGAATATACCTTGGGGTTTAAGAAACATTGCTCAGAGATGTAATGTTGTACTATACATGTACAAAATAAAAACATTTCTGTCCACCTTTTCTCAGTGTACTTGTTCTAGAAGTGTTTTAACAGCCCTAGTACTTGTTCTTTCTGACATGTTATATTATTAATATTTCAATTTAAGAATGCAGTTTGTGAGGATGCACTTGTCAAAATGTCTTCCCTTAGGTTTTGTCTTCCCATTAGTTGAGCCTTCTGGGTTTTTTTCAGTATAATCAATGGAAGTAGAATATTCTCAAGACTTGAAATATAGGATCAGACTTGTCTGGAAAAAAAAAAAACCAAATGCATAATAAAATCTCATAAGTGATAGGACGATTCTCTAGCTGTCAGAAACATCATTCATATAGAGGTTAGATGGGAGAGTCCACAGTACATTAAGACAATCAGTCAAACCAACTACTCTGGATTCTGTGTTGATTTTGTGGCAGACATCTTAAGAACTGGATTTAAGTAATAGAGAAGTAGCCTATTTTAAGCAGTTCTCTCAGATGGAAAAAGGCTAAATGAACTGAGCACATTTCTTGTGGGGCAAGTTTCTTTGGTAGACAGATCTGAATTACTTTTTTTTCACAAACAGGGTAGTTTCTTCCATTGTAGTTGATGTTCTAATTAGCAGGATCATGTAAGGAAACTAGCAGGGTCTGTCTGTACTTCAGATGAAGAAGGAAGTGGTGCTTCCTGATCCCTCTTTCATGATGAACGAGAAGCAACCCCTGAAAACAAAAAAGGTAAAATTCTTTTTTTTTTTTTTAATTATAATTCTTGAAGAAGCAAGAACTACTGGAAATTCTGTAGAATTTACTTACAGGTTGGTCCAAAGATACAAAGAAAGAAAACATTTCTGAAGTGGTAGCAGAAAAGCAGATAGTCTCCAGAATTTAGAAATCTTTTAAGTACAGGTAGTAAGATCAAGAGATTTTTGCCTTCATTGTATTTATAATATTTTAAATTTCATGTTAAATATCTGTTCATTCTTGGAAGCTGGATGTATGCCTTAGTGCAATCCAGCTAATATAACTAGATGGATAAACTTTTCCTAGGCACTTCTTGCCTGTATCTCTGAACACGTTATAAGCTTAGAGTGTCCTGATTGTGTAAGATAGTTCTATTAATCTGTCTTGGACTCTTTTCGTGTGGCATTCATTGATGTCTGTCAGAATTTATTTTTCTGTGTGGAGAACAATTTTTCAGTATTTGCCCTCACACAGCCCGCTCAGAAAGAGATGATTCTCCTTAATAAACTTTCTGCTATCTGTAGATGTTTGCAAAGCTTGTCTAGATTTCAATTTTAATAACAGTGCACGTTGTTTCTGTCTAATAGTGCCTGGCTCATGAGGTTAGGATGCTCTTTAGGAGAACTCGGAATCTTAATCTCGGTGGCATCATAGGCACTACTGGAAAAAGTCACATCTCTGAATTTTTGAATCACACCAAAATGGGAAGTTTGGCTACTAACATCTTAAGTGTCTGCAGCTCTGCTAATCTAATCCAATCATTTATCAGCTAATTCAATATATTAGCTACTTCCCACAAAAATATTTCGTAAGTTTGGGGTTTTTTTTTTCTTTACCCAAACATAGCCTTTTAAAAATCTTCATGAGATTCTACCAGGGATGAATGTGTGTTTAAATGGCCCTTCCAGTTTTTGTCAGATCTTTATGTCTGATAATATTAAAATTCCACCTTCTCAATCAGTTTTCCTTTTGAATTCTAATGGCTTTCAAACATCTGACAGCAATGCAACAAGAGTATGTTTTTTTGTATTCAATTTTATCTTTAGTTTCTGACCAAAGAAGAAGATTACTTGCTGTTTTCTTCCCTTTTAGATAAAAAGTGCTCTTCCCTGTGTGGTCCAGTCTTTGGAACAAATTTCTGTATCACTTAGTGGTGATGTTCCCAGGATTCAAAACAAAAAATCACTGCTTCATCCTAATCCTCCGCAAAAATTTCTAAGTATAGTTTCTCAGGTGAAGAATTAAGCACAATTTTATTTCTCCTTGAGCTGGAGGTTCCAAGGCATCTTATACGCTGTTTCACCTCTCCACAAGAAAAAATAAGTCTGTTCCCTTAGCTGACAAGCTACTTTTTTTTAGTCCCTCTCTGAATATAATATAATATAATAATGGAATTTTGCAATCTCCTTCCTCTGATATACAGAACCAAAAGAAGAGCTTCTAAAAATTTTCTGTACTTTAAATGTTGTGCAGAGGAGAAGAATTCCACAAAACAAGATGCCACTTGTATGCTGAGCTGTAGTAATGCAAATCAAGAGTTTAAAAGAAGTCATTTGTTTTGGTTTTATTCCTGCCCCAGGCAGTTTTAGACAGCATATATCAATTTTCCAGAAACTTGTCAAACTCAGGAATGATTTAGTATGCTGTTAAACATAATAAAATCAATAAGAAAACAAATAGAATTTCCATGAGGAACAGACAGTTGGAGAAGCTTGTCCATATGGCACATAGACATGCTGGAATTTGGGGCTTTGTGGGGTACTTCCATTAGAAAAATTGCATACTGAGCAAAGGTAATGCATAATTCAGGAGAATAAATAATCTAGCAGTTTTGTGGTAGTTTGCCTTGAACTTGGTGTCTGTATTTATTTAACAACAAATGTACTCAGAAATTTTATGCCTGGAAGCTACAAAACAAATGAATTATATTTGCTTAATTTCAGAGCCTTATGCATAAGGAGCCTCACCTCTAAAGTGAGTGTGGAGTTCTTGGTTCAGACTGAATAGTAATTTTATTTTCCTAGTCTTCCGGAGGGTAATTTGTATAGCCAACTGGCTTCATTTAAGAACTTCCAACTTCAAGAGTATCAATCCCATTAAGGTAGTGGAAGGATCCTGTTGGTTATGCCAGTCTCCATTATTCTTTGTCACTCCCTTCTGTTCAAGAGTTCCTCAACAGCTGTGAGGGCATTGGTGTGCCTGTTGGTGTGTGTAACAGCTAGCCAAGTCAGTAATTCCATCCTTCCCCTTTAGGGACCACCTACAGGTTTGAGAGCACTTCAGTTCACTGCTCCAGACTGTTCTTCGCCATCCTCACATATAGAACTATAAATGGTGGTTAATTTTGAGAAATCCTTGTGAATCCATGTGCCACAAAGCTTCATGAAAGACTAAATACATTTCCTACAACAGAAACTAACTGACTGGTTTTAAGAGAAACTCTTGTTTCCAGTTGAGCTTCTAAGCGAGATTGTCATACTATCCTGGCTGTAGGTACCTCCTGTCAGGAGGTGGCTGAAGAGTGCTGCTTGTTCAGAAGTGTTTCTAAGAACATGTAACTTTCACTGGTTGGCTGTAGTTCCAGCTAGACATGAATCACTCATAACAGGTCAACCTGTCCTCATAAACTTTTTTCTGCAGCTCATAGCAACTTCCACAGAGCTACAGTTGAACAGCAAATCTTAAAAAGCCCATGTTGCACTGTTGCATCTCAGGTTTACTACAGCTTTTGCAACTTGGAGATTGACTGTCAATTTTTTTTTTAGGCTGAAAAGAACCAGTGCTGGAGTAATGCTTCTGTGTGAGCTTGAACAGCATGCCTTGTTGCTGGTAATCAATCTGCTGGGGTTCTTGATGTTCCTATAGCTGTTGGGTCTCTCCTAAACACATTCTAGTTCCATCAAGAATTCTAAGAGATTTCTAACTCCTTAAAGTGAGAGAGAATTGGTAGCCATTCCCAGAGCAGAACAACCCTCATCCTACTGATAAATGTAAGTATAACCAGAAGTTCTGAGTAAAGCACTTGAGCCTGCTCATTTCATGGGCTCTCTGTGCCTGTTTAGGAGCCAACCAGCTCTTGAAATAGTCGTGCTTACTCCATGTTTTCCTTGTTAGAGCTTTTACATTACTTGTATTCTTCTAGAATTGAAGGTTATTAAAGCATGCACAACATGTCAGTCCAAGTAATGTCATGGAAGATTTCTCTATTTTTCTTTCTCTTTTTTCATCTGGTTTTCGTCCTCTGGGGGCAACAAAAGATAGAAGCTTTAGTAAGTTGAGCAGCCATATGCGATTCTTAGCTTTGTTAAATCTGGTTGAGTTCAGGCTCTTTTTGTAAAGAGGCTGTTTGTCTTCAGCAAGTAATCAGAAGACTTCCACTTCGGAAAAGTTAATGTGGGTGTTTTTTTCTCATTATCTTACAAACCCACTTACCCTACTATGCCTGAATGTTATAAAATGTGTTTTCAGTATTCAGTTAGCTAAGCTGGAATTTCTCATTCTTGTATGTCATCATGTTTCTACTAAAGACTATGTCTTTATTCGTGGTTAAGTAGTGATTATTTATTTATTTATTGCAAGTGACTCATGATGAGGTATGTGAAATGGTGTAGTAAGAAGTAATGTGGGGGCCATTTAAAAGGCTGCATACAAATGAAATCTTAGGAAAGTACATTTTCACCTCAAAATTAAATGTGTGCAATAGCTTGGCAGAGAGGAAACTGTCACATACCAGAGGCTGCATATTGGTAGTGTGAATGCTGTTTTCATGTGATGAAAAGAAAGAGGGACAGGAAAAAGGAAATGGAAGGAAATGGAGGGATTGGGGAAGAACATCCTGGAGATGTAAATGAACTTATTGGAATGAAGTTATGATGTTGAAGAAGGTATTAATGTGATGGCAGCATTGTGGTAATGGACTCTAAGCCCAGTTGTCTATTACTCCTTGATTCTATATGAAGGTAAAAAGGATGCATATAATAACTCACTATAGTAGAAGAAGTTTGTCTGTCACATAGCGATGCGTGTTGCTACTAACAAGTAGCATAGAATCATTTGACTTTGAGCAAGGGAACCACAAATTATGTGCTGTTGGCTGGTTTGTCTCTCATTTCCTTGTGTTGCTGTTTCTGATTAGTTTATTACAAATAGATCAGTCTTTATTCATTACTTCTGATGGCAGGCGTGCAGCTGTCATGTAACACGTGTATCATCCATCGACAGAAGGGGTTGTGGAATATTTCTGCAATAGTGGGCAACAGTCACCAGCACTTTTACCTGTTTATACCTGGTGGGAAA